GTGGGGGAGCAGAGTTGTCATTCCCACAAACTTACGAAGCGAAGTACTACAAGTATTACACGAAAGTCATGTTGGTGTGGTTAGAATGAAAGCTCTGAACAGAAGTTACGTTTGGTGGCCAGGAATTGATTCGGAGATTGAAGGGCTAGCAAAAGGATGCAGTGGTTGCCAGCGGGTTCAACATGCCCCCAAATGCTCACCATTACACCCATGGGAGTGGCCATCTACCCCCTGGCAACATATTCATGTCGATTTTGCAGGACCATTCATTGGAATGATGTTTTTAGTGATTATTGACGCTCATTCAAAATGGCCAGAGGTAATAATCATGCACTCGAAAACAACCACTTCCAAAACTGTCGAAGCCCTGCGAACAGTGTTTGCTCGAAATGGGTTACCAGAAAAACTGGTTAGCGATAATGGCCCTCAATTCACTGCAGAAGAATTCCAGCTGTTTCTAAAGAAAAACGGAGTTAAACACGTAACTTCAGCACCATATCATCCAACCACCAACGGCTTAGCAGAAAGATTCATTCAAACCATGAAACAATCTTTGACTTCAATGAAGGAAGAAGACCTTGACTCCACGCAGACCAAACTATCCAAATTCCTAATGAAATATAGAAACACACCACACAGCACGACTGGTGAAACACCAGTTTATTATTTAAGTCCAAAATTAATTCCTGTTCGTAATATCTTCCTAAAATGTCTTCCCCATCCTCCGGATCCTTAAGGCTGTACATGTTCGGATCTCCCCGAAACACCGCCGTAATGACATACAGTTCGTAGTCGAAATTGGGTTCATATCCTTTTTCGAACGTTTTATGTTTTACCTCCACCTTGAAATGGTCCCCGACTTTGAACTTAGGTTTCGGAAAACTGTCCAGTGGATATCCGTAAATTCTTGTTCAAACTTCGTCCTTGTTCTGCTCGTTCACATCCGCCGGTTTTATTATTATGGGGGGGAGGCGGGGGGTGCCCCCCAGAAATGATTTGCACCCCCCCCCCAGAGGCATTTCGCACCGTCCCCAAAAGTTTTTGCACCCCCGC